TCTTTTTCTTTACTACAAACTTTTTTTTTTTAATAGAAAATTTCTAAGTTCTGAACAATTTATTTTTTTTTGTTTTAATTACAGGTGGTGAAAACTGTAAAATTTTTTAATTTCAGTTTTTCAAGTGCAGAATGAATCATGCTTTAAAACTTTGAAATTTTGTTCAGTTTCATAACATGCTTTTAGTATAAAATTTTGCAGTTTCATAATATGTTTTTCAATTTGATTAATAAATTTCAAAGAATGCTTTTCAATTTGATCAATATAGAAGATTATTTATTTAAACCTTACAAAAATTAAAAACAACATATGTTTTTTTCCCATTGTTGTTGTTTCTTGTTGTTACGCTTTTTATTTATTTTTATTCAGTTTGTCAATATTAGCAAATTTTGCTCTTTTTTTTTTTTGGGTTCTAATTTCTACATTTATTTTTTTTTTTCAGACAATGTTCTGGAAATTCTGGGGAATTTCTGACAATATTTTTGACGTCCAGCGACGTTTTGGACATTTCGACGACTTTTAATGAAATTTAGAACACTCCGGCAATACTATGGCGAATTTTCGACGACTTCCGGCGATGTTGAACTTTCCGACGAGACTCCAGTGATTGTCTGATGCAGGTCTGACAGTGATGAGATGTGGAGCATCCTCAAATTATTAAAAAAAAAAAAAATTGATAACAATTAAAAATATGTGAGATTAATTAGTGCAAATATTTTTGAGCTTAGGTGTGTTTTGAACCCCGTAAGTATTATTAGGTTCTTGGGCCTTTGATCTGCAGGTAACCAAGGAAAACGCCCAGCCTCAGTGACGATATCCAGCCCACACCAGTTGATATTACTACAGAGTTCGAATATTACAGGCCCAAAATATGATTGTTAGAGGCCCACAGAAACCCTTGGACGACTTTTATTAAAATCATGCAAGAAGACATGGAAGAGCAAAATAATAATAAATAAAATTACAATTTCATTTTTCAAAAATTTACTTAAAATAATAATAATAATAATAATAATAATAATAATAATAATAATAATAATAGTTTTGAAAATTATAAATACTCCCTTATTGAATTTTTTTACTTAACAAAATTAACTATAAAAATGAAATACCTAACTACTCTTCTATACAATAATAAAATTACATGAATTATTAATTAAAATATATATTTGCAATCATTAAAACAGTTAATTGGCTTGATGATTTATTAATAAAATGGATTATTTGTTATGTAATTAGAAAATTGAAGTTGAAATGTAATTTTCAGAACTATGGAGAGCAATTTATATTTTAAGCAAAACTCAAAAAATGTATTTATAATTTACCAAAAAAAAAAAATTTGTAAGAAGACTTTTAATATAGCTCCTATTAGCACAAATATTTCACTAAAATTGTTCACTTTTTACGTATTTTTTAAAAATTCTTTTATAGGGAATTGTGGGGAAAGTCCTATTTGAAAGGTTGATGAATCAAAAAGTCCTCTTTGACTTTTTGGTACATCAAAAAGTCATGTTCACTTTTAATTGTTACTACAAAATCTTATTTTTTAAATTTTTTTGGTTGTGTTTTCTTAAAAAAGTGTCACTAATTATTAGTTTTTGGGCACAGTTGAAAAATTCGTCACAAATGTACCATCATTACTAAAAAAGTCACTAATTTTTATTTTTGGCGACAAATTTTAAAAAATCATTAAAAAATAAAATCGTCACTGACACTTGTAAAATTTTTTAATCTATACAAATACTATTTAATAGTGCATTGATCCTTGATCTATGAGTAAATACCTTTTTTTAAGAAAAATAAGAATAAATTCAAATGTCACTTTCTTAGTCAGGGATGGAACTAGGAGAACATTATCCTGTTTCTGTATAGAATTCTATTTGTCATAGCGCATTTAAAATACATATGATAAATAAAATAGCTTTTCAATATTTTATATATATGTATCATTCTTCTGCCATCTTACGTTATCTTTTTATTTTGTATCAATTTTTTTGTTATTCTAATAGAGATTACTTTTATGGTATTTGATTTTTTTTATGTTCATAAATCATATTATATATATGTATTCAAATATATAGTAATTTTTTTATTTATTTATCTTCCATCCCTCCTATGATAAAATCATGATTTTATCTTGTCAGCCCAACTTAGTCATATATTTTGGGATGAGAGATGGGCCAAGCCAAGTTAAAACAATCAAACTTAACAAATGTACCATCGTAACACGCCATACCAAAAATAACCAAAATGACTCAAATCGTTAGGTATTGTAAAAATTTAAAGGAAAATATTAAAAATTCTAAATATTTTATATAATTGTTTTGTATCCCTACACATTGCTCAAATATAATTTTAAAATTTTGAAGGTGCGAGTGTTGTGACTGCCAATACATTTTCGCTTGTCCTCTATTAATTTGAAATTACTTTTCTTATTTGTCGTTTATTTGAAATTCCTAATACAAATATAAATTTTGTATTAAATTCTCATATAAAATAAAGTTGTATGGTTCCATCACTAGCAGTTGCGGTTCAACAACAATTTCAAAATAAAATACCTATTATTATGATATATAATTAACAAAAAAAGAAGAAGAAATACTTTCACATCATTTTAGAAGAATTTTTTATGTAAAATTTTATGCAAAAGATTGGGTTTTTTTTTTTTTATAATCACATTTTAACATGAGAGAACTTGAGGGGCTCATGGGGCTCACCACGAGTCCCATTTCGATGATTCAAACTATTTATTTGGTAGAGTCCTCAATGAATATCATCCATAAAAAAAATATTTAATTCGATCCGATAATCGTAATATTTCATTTTATCGCATTTATCTCTAAAAAAAAAATGGACGGCAAATATATTTATGAAAATAGGCCATCTATTTTTTCAGAGAGAAACACGATAAAATAATAGGTTGCGATTATCGAATCAAGCTAATTTTTTTTATGGATAATATATATTGAGGATCTTATAAAATGAACGGTTTGGATCATCGAAACGAGACTTGTGGTGGATCCTACAGACCAATCAAGTTCTCTCATGTTGAGATGTGAATATAAGATAAATCCAACCTTTAATGAAATTACACATATAATTCCTATAATCAGCTGCATGTGTTAATTTGATCACTACAGTTCTAATTACATCAATTTTACTCTAAAATTTTTATATTGTGTCAATTTAATCTAATTGATAGCATTTCATTATAAATTGGACTAAAATTAAGGTGCAAAATAATTTATTCACTCTCGAAGTTTACATCTAATTTGAAACGGTCCAATTCCATTTTGAATTGACAATTTTGCTCTTGATTTCTATTCGATTTTTGAACAATTTTTATCAATGGACTAAATTAACACAATGTGTAAATCAAACAACAAAATTGATACAATTAATAAAATTTCAAGAATCAAATTAACATAAGAAAATTACATACATCACAAATATATTTTATCCAAAAATATATTTTCAAGGAGGTATGATCCATAATGAGGGCACTATGTGATAATAATCTCATGTTTCATGCTTACCTAGTCATAGAACAACCAAGGGCCAAATTGAGGATCTGGCCTAATGGGTGGACAAAGGGCCAAGTTATTTTTTGGGTGAATAAAGGGCCAAGTAACCTTAATTGACCTAACTCATTGTTATCTAAATCACCATTAAAGCAACCCATATTTGGTTTGAACCACTTTACCAGCCCTAATGCCTATATATAGCCATCTTTAATGTCTGTTTGGTTGCTCAAGAGCAGGCGATGATGGATTTCATTTTCTGGGTTGCCATTTTGGTAACTTCGATGGTAGAACAAGAAGATTGTGTTAAAGAAAGAAAGTACAAGAAAGTGGGAAATAATTGACTCTGAATGGAATATCCCACTCATCAAAGTTTGTCTGTGGAATATCCCATCCTATCTCTCTCTTCTCTCTCCCTAGCTACTTCAAAAAAGTAAGCAAGTTTACACATCCCTATGAACTTCGAATGAAAAATGAATTTTATTCACAAGGCTCTTGGCACCCTGGTTAAGAATGTATTAAATCATCTCAACCATTTCTATTAATATGGAGATAGGAAAATCTACAAATATAGCTTTATAGAGACTACGTTTATCATTTTCTCCAATTCTCTCTTGTACAACATTATAAACTTTTCAAATAGAATTTATTTATTTTTCAAATAATTTTTTATCGTAAAACTAAATGTTAACAAAACTCATTAAAAATAAAATAAAATTAGAGAGTTCGAAAATAGGTCGGAATGTCATAAGAATGTGTGGTAGCAAAAACTGTCGAGTTTTTTCAAAACATCATGTATGTAGATGTGTCTAATTAATAGTGTTTTTGTGATTTTTTGGTATTATTCTAATTTTTTTTTGGGTCATGTAACTGCGCAGTCTTTGCTAGCGGGCAGTTGAACAGCCTACATGGTGTTTTGGACGGAATTGGGGTCACTGTTGTACTTTTGTTGTGCCTCATTTTAAGATACATTATATACTTGTTTTTATGATCTGAATCGTTAATTTTGTAAGATTTATTGAGTACTTCATGCCTGCCAAAAATCATATTAATCGGATATCAATAACTATATGATCGAATTGCATACTTTTATATTATTTCTCAAAAGAAAAACTTCTTGTTTATTTTTTTGGTTATCAATCATATAGTTATTGATATCTGATTAATATGATTTTTGATAGGCATGAAGTACTGAACAAACCCTACAACATGAAACGGTTCAGATTATAAAAATAAATCTATAATGCATTACAAAATGAAACACAACAGTCACTGCTGTGCCCCAAATCCGTTTTGGACGGACTCCATAATTACTCGAAAGGTATATTCATATTTAATGTGATGTCGGTCAAACTTACAATTAATTTGGAATACATACTTCATTTTTTGGGTAATTTTCCAAGGAACTTTCTACAGTGATAACAATACAAAAATCAATTAGATAATGAGACACAAAATATATGGATTGAATGGGTGATCTGATAAAATTGTTTATTTATTCCCTGAAACAAATGTTGTGACTGGCAGGACATGCTTCCAATTTTAACGGAACTTCGTCATGCATTGGACATGCAAGTAGCGCTTGAAAACCATGTTGAGGAAGGAAACTTCTTTAAGGTTGGATGTCGGTTTTGGTGTTATTTTGTGGAATATTGCACTTTAACTCTCCAATTCTTTACTTAGTTTGCATGTATTTTATTGGTAATGTGCATGTCTCATAATTTCCTTTTTCCTTTTTCTTTACCAAATACTATTTTAATTGTGATCACTATTTTAATTGAATCAATACAGGCTGGATAGTTATGTAATAGGCTATGGAATTAAGATTGCCCCCTTCTCCTTCTCTCTGTCTTTTGTTTTTTGTTTTTTAATCTTGAAGTCATATATATATATATATATATACATATATATTTGTATGGTATACGATTCTTGATTTTCTAGTTCAATTTATCTCACTGCTAGTAATTCTACCTTGGTTGTATTAAAGAATAGATTGAAACAACAATATCAATATCAATCTTCTACTTGCATACTGTTATATAAGTTATATGACTGCAATTACGGCAATTGAAAGTTTGAACTTTTCATAAAATATTAAAAGATAATTTAATCATTACAACTAGATGAGTTGGAAAGAATTACTGCAATTGAAAGTCTTGACTCTTCATAAAATTGAAGGATCATTTAATCATTACAACTAGATGAGGAAGTGAAAAGACATAAATTTCTCATGGGGTGGTATGAAAGTTAGAAAGTTGAATTAGGAAGGGCAATTGCAACGAGCTTGAGTGGATAATATCCCTATCTGATATTTTTTGGCAAATTTTAGTATTAGAGATTTTAACGATTAAATATGTGATGATTCCTTCTGTATCTCTCTCTCTCTCTCTCTCTCTCTCTCTCATTTATTTAATTTACTGGTTTTGAATTGTGAGGCCTGTTTTCTCAATTGTGTTAGGAACCTATCAACTTTATTGAATTTTTTTTTCTGCATTGGGTTAATAAAGATGTGACATGATTTATCCAATACTAGAGATCGGTGGAATGCTCCAATTATTCTTATTGCAATAAACCATAACAAGTACTTAATCATAAGATTATCTTGAAGGCAAACAACTTAGTTCTACCATCACCTATATAGTTTTTGAATCATATTAAATCAATTCTTCACTGTAGTGTGGCTAAGGTTGGGCATTTGAAGTGTATGACAAGAAATTATGGAGATGGACATCTTCACATTATTTGTCTCTAATTTTAATTTTGATTTCTTTTGCTATGTAGTTGGTCATGCTATCAATTTTTATTTTATTGTCTCTTTTTCCTCCTTTTTTGGATATATCCACCAACATTTACACATCTCTTGCCAAATTGAATTATATATTTTATGATTAATTGTGCAGATCTTGAGAGAGTACATGGATTTACTTTTGGGGACAGTCTTGATGATAGTAAGAAAAGCAAGTGGCGTCACTTCAGAGCAAGGCTTAACAGGGTAGTGAACTCTCAAATATAATGTTTTCAATTTTTTGCGAACTAAATAGCCATCATGATCCAAAAAAAGGAGCGGAGAATAAATGACAAAGGAAAGCTACCATCTGTCATATGCCTGTAGCATTTCCTGAACCTTAAATTTTTTCCCTTCAATTATCAGATCAGTTCTGCAAATCCTTTACTGTGGCATTTCTCAAACCCTTGTCTCTCTCTCTCTCTCTCTCCCCACCACCCCACCACCCAAAAGAGATTATTGTAGTTGGTGTAGAAAATGATATTGTTTCTCAATTCAGAATTGCAAAAAACACGCACACACAAGATACACAGATATTGCATAGTGTAGACAATTTTCCAGTGACTCATTTATTATTGTCAGTTCATTTTTTCTCAATGTTGAAGATTGCACACGAAATGCATGTCCATGTTGACTCTCTCTTACCCTTTGAATGCGTCCAATGGATAGTGAAATGGACTGCTGTACATTCCCATTTATGTAGCATCTTCTCCACCTGGGCATTAAATGTATGTTATTGGTGATTTTTCTGACTGTTTAAACTATCTATGTTCCCCATGTTAGTATCTTTACACCAATCTCTCAAAAACTTCCAGTGAAAGACTCGTGAAGCATGCTCAACCCGTTGTTGTTTGTGTTGTTTAAGTTGCTTCTACAACAAATTACTTCTTTTCTTTTTTTTAGGTGGTCATTTGTGTACTGTTTTTTTTGTCATTTTGAATAAGATTTTGAAGTCTTGTTTTATTGGTTGGATGAACAAAAACTATTACTTGTTCATGAATTTCGGTAGTTGAACTTGTGTTGTAAGCTTTCTTGCTTGGATTTATATTTATGCCAGGTCTCGATGTGGTTCGCACTGATAGGACTCTAGTTTTCTATGAGAAGCAAGAAAACTTGTCAAAACTTTGGGACATTCTTACTGTCTATACATGGTTTGATATAGATGTAGGCTATTGTCAAGGTAGGTAGTCAAATGACGATTTCAATAAAATGCAGAAAATGATCAATTATGATAATAGTTGCACAAGAAGACATACTATTCAAGATTTCTGGAATAAATAAAAGCTGTCAACTGCTGACAAAACAGAGCCTGAAATAGAATTATATACCAAGTTTTCATATAATTTAGTTGAACATAATGGCGAAAACAATTAATATACAACATCTTGTGTACCAATACGATTGTTCTAAAGATGTAAATTGTTGTGCTCTGAGAAATTTAGTCAAAATTGTTCCATTTTTAGTGTTTAAGCAATTTCTCTGTCCTATTACTGATGAGATTCTTGAGCAGGTTCGAAGTCGGTTTTATCTTTAAAATCTTCCAGCTCTTTTGGGATGTAGTTGCATACTGTTTCTCTCTGTATATTATCAATTGTATTCGACTGTAAAAATTTTAATATGTATACTATCAGTTATAGCTATTGTAGTTTGTATTTGAATGACATGTGTTGTAATTTCCAGTTGCTTATGACATGTGTTGTTATTTGAAATTTTAAAGCGAGCAAATTTCAGATGCACTGAGAGCTCTGTTGGGGTGGGGACACAACTTAATAATTTGGCGTCAGTTACCCAAGTTATTGATCCAAAGCTTCATCAGCATTTAGGTACTGTTTTTAAATTAATGTATGTTCATTAGTTAATATAGTTGATAAAAGAAATCTTCATTTTTGTTAGTCAATAAAAATTTGCTCCAAATGTATAAAGTTAGTTGGTGGCAACTTTTTTAAATTGGGCCTGTAGCTAATGAATAAATTACCAAGACATAGAAACAAGGTTTTAGACTTGGGAAAACATAAGAGATAAAGTCATAGGTAATTCTGGTAGGTTTTAGAGTTGTATGGATGCAATTAGGACACCTATACTTGATGTATTAAAAATAAATTTCAGAAAGACTCAATTTCAGTATGTACAGGGAAATGATTTGTTGGCATTACGAGTTTAATCTGTCTTCCAACACTGCAGGCTTATTTCAATGCACCTGACGGAGACGAGCCTCTGGCTTTGGACATGGGGAGTATGGGAAAAAGTCAAGTATGGATTAATGGTCAGAGCATTGGAAGATATTGGACAGCGTTCGCAACTGGTAATTGCAATGGATATGGGGAGTATGGGACAAGGTTTCTTTGCTTGATCAAGCACAAGGCTGATGCTTGGTGAAAAGAACATGCTTGGTGAAAAGAACGATCAAGCACAAGGCTGATGCTTCAAAACCATATATATTCCTTCCTGTTTTCATGGCATCTTTATTGTATAGAAAATATTTGGTAGACTACTAATTATTTTTTTCGGTTGATGTACATGGATAAAAATTTTAAACATAATAACAAGTATTTGTTATGTCTTAAATTTTTATGCTAGATGAAATATGTAGTTTGGAATTATTTGTGGATGAAAACTTATAATAGTTGCTGATTTTAATTAAGCAGGTTCAGAAATGGTTGATCTATGTATTTTGTTGAATGTTCATGATTCAATTTATTTGTTGGTTTGAATGATTTTTGCAAATTACAGATTATATTGAATAGATTGGATGGATTATTATAAATTACAGGTTTATTTTGTTGAATGTTGGTCGCAGAATGTGATAATTGGCGACCAAACTAATTTTGGTCGCAGAATGTCACAATTGGCGACCAAACTAATTTTGGTCGTGGAATGTGACAATTGGCAACTAAGAAATTTGGTCGACAAAAAGGCGACTTTTCGCGACCAAAGTGTTTTAGCGACAAAATGGATTAGTCGCAGTAAATAAATATTTAGCGACCAAAAATTTAGTCGGCAAATACAACTTTTCCTGACCAACGAAAATTTTGGTCGCGAATTATTTTTGCCGACCCTCAATTGGCGACCAAACTAGCGACAAAAAAAATTGATCGCGGATAACTTTTGCCGACCAAAAATAGACTTTTAGCGACCAATTTTTTTGTCCCCAAAAGTGTTAATTCTTGTAGTGTATTCTAATTTTTTTGGGGTCATGTAACTGCGTAATCTTTGCTAGTGGGCAGGTGAACAGCCTACATGGTGTTTTGGACAGATTCCATAATTACTCGAAAGGTATATTCATATTTAATGTGATGCCGGTCAAACTTACAATTAATTTGGAATACATACTTCATTTTTTGGGTAATTTTCCAAGGAACTTTCTACAGTGATAACAATACAAAAATCAATTAGATAATGAGACACAAAATATATGGATTGATAAAATTTAATTAAATTTGTTGGTGGACTTGATTTTGTCCATTAATGTATTTTTTGTATCTGATTATGTGCTTTTAGATTTATTCATAATAATAATAATAATAATAATATTATTATTATTATTATGAATAAATCTAAAAGCACATAATCAGATACAAAAAATACATTAATGGACAAAATCAAGTCCACCAACAAATTTAATTAAATTTTATCAATCCATATATTTTGTGTCTCATTATCTAATTGATTTTTGTATTGTTATCACTGTAGAAAGTTCCTTGGAAAATTACCCAAAAAATGAAGTATGTATTCCAAATTAATTGTAAGTTTGACCGGCATCACATTAAATATGAATATACCTTTCGAGTAATTATGGAATCTGTCCAAAACACCATGTAGGCTGTTCACCTGCCCACTAGCAAAGATTACGCAGTTACATGACCCCAAAAAAATTAGAATACACTACAAGAATTAACACTTTTGGGGACAAAAAAATTGGTCGCTAAAAGTCTATTTTTGGTCGGCAAAAGTTATCCGCGATCAATTTTTTTTGTCGCTAGTTTGGTCGCCAATTGAGGGTCGGCAAAAATAATTCGCGACCAAAATTTTCGTTGGTCAGGAAAAGTTGTATTTGCCGACTAAATTTTTGGTCGCTAAATATTTATTTACTGCGACTAATCCATTTTGTCGCTAAAACACTTTGGTCGCGAAAAGTCGCCTTTTTGTCGACCAAATTTCTTAGTTGCCAATTGTCACATTCCACGACCAAAATTAGTTTGGTCGCCAATTGCCACATTCTGCGACCAACATTCAACAAAATAAACCTGTAATTTATAATAATCCATCCAATTTATTCAATATAATCTGTAAAA